ATCGGTGCAGCCGTTTTTGTGGTACGGTTGACCAAATATCACTGAAAAAATAAATAAATAAATAAATAAACAGTACGAAAACAATGTGAACCCCACTTACGGGTCGCATGCGGGGGTCATAATAAATAAACCATGCATGCGGGGGTCATAATGAATGATAAAGTGCATTTATCGTTATCAAGGTGAACTAGTCAATATATCATGATATRGATTTTAGGCCATATCGCCCAGCCCTACCTTCAGGATTATATTTACTTCTGTCAGTGTAGGTTATGTCAGTGAATGACATAAYGAAGGGACTGCCCACACCTGTCCATGAAATAGCCTTGGAGTCAATTATCCATTTTCTTTTGGTCCCTTTAAAAACAGGGTGGCRCATACAGTATTGAGCTAAAGCTCCTAAACCCTTCATCCAGTTTTATTGTCCATGTACATTATATCACTATAACTTGAATATGTTTCAGTAAACAGGTAAAAAGACAAAATTTGTGTCAGTGTCCAAWTATATMTGGACCTAACTGTAAGTTTAARCCATTTACCATGAAAAGTCATGAAGGATTCTTGGGCTGCTTCCTTCTTTTGTGTTTTCTTAAATGTTTCAGTGCATCTTAGTTACTTGAATGGTCATCATGTTTTACAACGGTATGTTTAGGCTATGAATAGAAAATCTTGAAGGCCTCATCTTCAATGTTTGGGAGCCTTCTTTGTACTCAATTCTTTGTCTTTTCCAGGGCTTTGTTTTTGATGTCAAAGAGTAGTTTCCAGCCTCCTAAGCTTAAAGATAAAAACAAATGGTGAGTATCTGTGTGTTTTTAAAGAGATCACCATATGATACAATGTTCTGCCATGTTCTCAGGTAATGGGTGGGATAAATATTGTTTTCAAACACAAATATCATTTACAGGTCTGCCGCTTTCCATAACTTTGTTAAAGTTTCTCTCACAAAAAACCCAAAGAAGCGCCCCACAGCTGACAAACTTCTATCGGTAATAAATTTTCCTCTTGTCCTTGATGTTTATTGTTGTTTCTTTGAGTGTCTGTCACTCCCTGACTGCCAAGTTACAGTATTTGAAGACGGAAACAAACGTGATGTAAACCTCAAACAGCTGTAGTCTGAAAACAGAAATCAGATCTCAGAAATTCCTAAACCTTAAAGAGTTTGATGGTCAAATTTTTATGGTTCTGCGTGTATGAAAATAATGACGTTAAAAAAGAAACCTCACTTCAGTTTTTCAATATTTAGAGCTAAAATAAAGCTAAATGCTTTAAAGCTTAGCTGAGCTTCTGCATTATGGGAGGATTTGGGAGAAAACTTTGTTCTACCATGGTGAGAGAGACACTTAGTAAAATAAGACAAATTCCTACAATTTCATTTATAATTGTGTTTGACTGTCTTTGTTCTACTGTATTAGTTAAACATGTTGAAAACAAATTTTGTTTATAAAAAWCTCTTAATTATAATGTGACTAATATTGTCTGTAATCCTGTTTTTATTTTAGCATGTGTTTGTGGCTCAAACGGGGTTGACAAGGAGGCTTGCAGTCGATCTCCTCGACAAAGTGAACAACCCAGATCACCACCAACATTACGTTGGAGGGGACGATGATGATGACTTTGAGGTAATGTAATATCCTGCAGAAACAGGCATTCAGAAATATACAGCGGGTAAAATAAGTATTGAACACGTCACCATTTTTCTCAGTAAATATATTACTAGAGGTGCTAATG